TTGGAGAAAAGGGTCACATGGATTTGTCTGCTTGGGCTGGCTTCAAATTGTGATTCTCAGTAGCTGGGATTATAAGCATGAGCCACTGGCCCAGAGAGCCAGCTCTCTCTCTTTTTGCATTTTGTGGCCACAAGAAACATCCAGAAGGTTCTATGTGGCTGGATGAGTGTGTGTGTGTGTGTGTGTGTTTCCAGCGTAGTGCTCTTGGAGGGGTAGGACCACCTGAGAGGGATGTGGTTTTGTGTTGAGGTGAGCTGGAGAGCCAGCCAGAGGATTGCAGTCCCTGGCAGTGGCAGGCTGGCGTGAGAGCGGTTCTCAGGCCATGTCCAGGGCCCAACACAGAACAAGTTCTGCATGCTCTTCTGCCCTTCCTCTAACAGGACTCCATGGGCAGGAAGACATCCAGGGAGGAGCCGTCCTCCAGCATGGCCTCCTGGGAGGCAAAGAGGGGCTGCTGCTGGCCCAGAACTCTTATGGCAGAGTCTCTGAGCCCTTGCCAGATTATACCGCTACGAGGCCGGAGTGGCTGGGGGCCTCTATCACTTGAGCCACAACTCCACTTCCAGCTTTTTGGTGATTAACTGCAGATAAGAGTCTCACAGGCTTCCCTGCCCAGCAAGCTTCAGACCACAGTCCTCAGATCTCAGGCTTTTGAGAAGTTAGGATTACAGGCGTGAGCCACCACGGTGCCTGGCTCTAGTGAGCTGTGTTTCTCACCCAAGGAAAGAAGGTCCACTATCTGGCCAGCCCTTGCTGTAGTTTCTGGGGCACAGGGAGTTGAACATTAACCCCTGGATGAGTGCTTCCAACTAAGCAAACACAGCTATCACATGTCAACAGTAGCTGCCTCCTGGTTGGGCTACAGCTGACTCCCAGCCCAGAGCGCCCCGCCTGGTACTGCCTGCCACGCTGGCATGGTGGGGGCGGGGCAGCTCTGCATGCCAGATAGGGCAGGCCAGGTGTTACCTGGGTCGGAACCCTGTCGAAGGGAAGGTGGCTTAGTGGTAGAGTGCTTGCCTATCATGTATAAAGCCCTGGGTTCCATTCTTCAGTACCACACACAGAAAAGGCCAGAAGTGGCGCTGTGGCTCAAGTGGTAGGGACAGTGTCAAGTCTCAGGACTGGCAAAAAAAGAAAAAAGAAAAAAAGTGACTGGCTTTGAACTGTGATCCTCAGATCTCAGTCTCCTGAGTTAAGTAGGATTACAAGCATAAGCCTAAAGGCTAATTTTCTCTGGTGCCGGTGGCTCAAGCCTATAATCCTAGCTACTCAGGAGGCTGAGATCTAAGGATCATAGTTCAAAGCCAGCCCTGGGCAGGAAAATCCATGAGACTCTTATCTCCAATGAATCACCAGAAAACTGAAAGTGGCACTGTGGTTCAAGTGGTAGAGTGTTCGCCTTGAGCTGAAGAGCTGAGGGACAGTGCTCAGGCCCAGAGTTCAAGCCCTACAACCAAAAAAAAAAAAAAAAGTCTCATGGACTTTCTTGCCCATGCTGGCTTTGAACCGTGATCCTCAGATCTCAGCCTCCTAAGTTCTAGGATTATAGACATGAGCCACCGGCGCCCGGCGGTCACTTCTGATCAGCGCTGAGCTCTCAGCACCTGAGGCTAGTATGTGACGCTGTCGAGTCCACCAGAACAGTAGGCACACATTAGTGGTGATAAAAGGCTCACTCAACAACCATGTTCCTGAGAGTTAAGTCAACTTTGCAAGTAACTGCTTTGTATTCTTATACTCATGGCTTACAAAATCTATGGGAGGGAGCAGGCAGCCGTCCCCAGCGATGCCATCCCTTGTGTCTCTGAGGCTGGTGGAAACCAGAAGCCTCCTCCTGATTAAAGTTATTCTTTTGCCCTTGAGGCCTTTTGGTAAGGTCGCTATTAAGATCTTGGGTCCAGCTGGGTACTGTGGCTCATGCCTGTAATCCTAGCTACTCAGGAGGCTGAGATCTGAGGATCTCGGCTCAAAGCCAGCCCAGGCAGAAAAGTCCGTGAGACTCTGATCTCCAATAAACCACTAGAAAACCGGAAGTGGCTCTGTGACTTAAGAGGTAGAGCATTCGTCTTGAGCTGAAGAGCGCAGGGACAGTGCCCAGGCCCAGGGTTCAAGCCCCACGACCGCCAAAAAAAAAAAAAAAAAATCTTGGTCCAGCTGGGCAGCTCACGCCTTTAATCCTAGCTACTTAGGAGATCTGAGGATCAAAGTTCAAAGCCAGCCTGGACAGGAAAGTCCTTGAGATTCCTAGCTCCCACGAACCACCAAAAAGCCAGAAGTGGAGCTGTGCTTCAAGTTGTAGACCAACAGGCTTGAGCACAAAAGCTAAACAACAGTACCAAGGGCCTGCCCCAGTACTACCACAAAAACAAACAAAATTGTAGGTCTAGCAGCCAGCCAGCCTTGGTCTGGTATGTTATCCCTGGGCTACTGTATTCCAGGGGTCTGCAGATAAAGGGTCTACCCTCTTCCAGGGCGCTACAGGCCACGGCCGCTGGGAGAGCAGCGGAGACTGCCAGCGCCTCCCTCCCACTCACAGTGTGCCCAACCAATGGCTGAGTTACTGCTGATCTGCACTATGACCAGTGGCCAGGCTCCTGTGACTCTACCAGCTCGAGGGAAAGCAGGTTAAAAGCAGATGGTCATCGTCTATGGCTGGGGGTGTCAGCTCCAGGTATGGTTACAGGCAGAGCCAAGAACACAGACTGCGAACGGGAGGCTGTGACTCTCGCTGGCAATGTTTCATTTCTTGTTATGGAGAAAGACAGAGGCACTCACTATTTCAGCAGGGGAGAGGGGGGGTGGCGGCCCCCTTTCCCTTGGCTTGTCTGGCTGCTTGTTGAGTGAGCCTGCTTGGACTCCAGGATGCTGGTCCTCGCTGGGCATTAACTGAGTGTGTGCGAGGCTGTTGGTGATGGCCATGGTCTTTATCAGATCAACGTCCTGGCCCACCCCATTCCAGACACCTCAGAACTTGCCACTACCAGAACAAGCAGCCCCAGAGCCTACCTCTGCCTCTACCCATTGCTCTGCCAGTCCTGGTTTGATGGTTCTGTGTGTGTGTGTGTGTTGGTCCTAGAGGTTGAACTCACAGTCTGGGTGCTGTCTCTGAGCTGTTTTGCTCAAGACAAACTCTATACCATTTTAGTTATAATAGCACTTCCTAATGTTATTAATTGGACATACAGTCTCATGGACTTCCCACCCCAGGCTTGCTTTGAAGAAGTATCCTCAGATTTCAGCCTCCTGAGTAGCTAGGATTCAAGGTATGAGTCATTGGAGCTGGGCAGAATTTTTCCTTCCTTCCTCTTTTTTTTCTTTCATTGTGGGGCTTGAACTCTGAGCCTGGGCGCTGCCCCTCAGCTCTTCCTCCCAAGGCTAGCGCTCTAGCACTTGAGCCACAGTGCCACTTCTGGTTTTCTGGTGGTTAATTGGAAGTAGGAGTCTCATGGACTTTCCTGCCGTGGCTGGCTTTGAATCTTGATCCTCAGATCTCAGCCTCCTGAGTAGCTAGGATTATAGGCATGCCACTGGCACCTGGCTGAATTGTTAGTTTCTTTAGTCATGTCTCCCAATCTCAGGGTCTTTGTTTCAGCCTCCCATGACCTTGCCTCCCACTTATAGTCAAGACAGATAGCCAGTGGCTCACTCCTGTCATCCTAGCTACTCAACTAGAGCACTTGCCTCGCATGCATGAGGCCCTGGGTTCGATTCCTCAGTACCACATAAGCAGAAAAAGCCAGAAGTGGTGTTGTGGTTCAAGTAGTACAATGCGTGCCTTGAGCTTTAGAGCTGAGGGACAGTGCCCAGCCCAGATTTCAGGCTTATAACTGACCAAAAAAAAAAAAAAAAAAAAATTGCTCCATCATCCTTAGACTTCATCTCGGCCATCCTGGGGGAGCTGCCAGTCTGTGCCACCCTGGGCAGGTGTGGCCCTCTCTTTATTTTCAAGTCAGGAAAAGACTCCACCATCCCTCCAACTCTAACTTCTCACTTCCCTTCTGAGGCCCCAGTGGAGGCTTCCAGGTTCAACTTGCCTGTCCCTGGCCACCTCCTTCCTGGGATGTCATTCCTGTTCCTGCTCCACAGCCAGACTTCCTCTGCTCTTCCCTCCCCAGCCAGCTGGCTACGCCTCAGTGCGGCCCTAGCTGTGCTTGCCAAGGTCATGCAGGTCGGGCAGCCAAGTCCTCTGCTGCGTTCTCGCCTCGGTGTGTGCGTGTGCGTGTGTGTGTGCGCACACACGCTCCCCACGTGCGCTTGAACTGGGTCTGTTATACCTTAGCTTTTTTGTTTAAGGCTGGTGCTCTATCACAAGTCAGCTCCACTTCCAGCTTCTCAGAACTTGGCGACTGGAGATGAGGCTCGTGGACTTTCCTGCTGGGGCCGGCGCGAGCGCCCCGCGTCTGCCGTCTTCTGAGCGTGTTCAGGGGTCTCAACTGTCCTCAGTAGCCAGCCATGGCTTGGCTTTAATTCAAGCCCTGCTTTCCTCAACCTCAGATGTTCCGTACACACTGGGGGACCAGCCCTGTGTCCCTGTGTCCCCGTGGCACAGCGTGAGCGGGGCAGGCTTTGTAGGAAGTGCGCAAGGTGCAGGATCTGGTAACAGAGCAGCTGCTTCAGAACGTGCACAGTGCCACTGACCCTGCAGGCATGTCTTGATCTGGAAAAGCATGAGGGGCAGAGGGGCCGGAAGAGGCGGGTAAGTGTTGGTGGCATATTCACCCCCCAACTTGGCCACCGAGCCTGCTGCTCTTCATAGAGGATCTAAGTCCCCTGACCCTCGGGATCTCCACCAGTAGCCAACACAGAGAAGGCCCATGCGCTCTGGGACTGGAGTGGGGTGGGGTGGGGGTGAGGTGGTGAGGACAAAGCCGGAGCCTTCTCACCTTCCTGGCAGCCAGGGGCATGCCTGGCATCACCCCAGGGGCCAACCAAGCATGGGGCTCTTTGGAACCTGCTCTGAGCGCCACCGTTTTGTTTTTTGTTGTTGGTTTCTTTTGCAGTCTACACAATAGGATGCATGTTGATGACTCAAAGGCTGGCCGGAGTCAGGCAGGGGTGGCCCGCGTCCGTCATCGCAGCTACTCAGGAAGCTATGCTGGTGTTTCAAGCTGGGCGGAGCCAGGGCTCCTGAATCTGCAGCCAGTCAGTCTGGGGACAAAGCTCTCCCGAGCACTAAGGCCAGGAGGCCGGCCAGCTCCCTGCGGGGAGAACGGAGGCGGTGTGGGCAGGTGCAGACTCCGCAGAGAACATCCTAGATCACACAGTCTGCCTCACACGAGGGCTTCATGGAGAAAATCTGATGTCTTCTTGATATAGTAAACACCGACCCATTGTTTTAATTTCCGAATTTATTAAAATGATTAACCTCAATACTGCAAGTGCATGTACAAAATATTTGTAAAAAATGTTTTTAATGAAACGTTAAAGAACTTACCTCAAATGCTGAAAAAGTCCTTTTTTCCATTCTTTCAGTACAAGGAATACATTGTATCTCAAAAGTATTACAACCCAGCAAAAACAATTGAAAACAGCAATTTGAAAAATGATTGAAAATTGAATACTTTACATAGATCTCTAGGCTCATTTCCTAATTCTTACAATGCCAAAACTTTTTTTTTTTTCTTAACCAATCATTGCATAAGCTCAAGCAAAAGTTTTTATTGAATGTAACCTCTTCCAGACTCGTCAACTGTGTGGGTCCCCCTCCCCACAATGAATTCTACAGCAGATAGAGAACAGTCCGAGGCCCCTGCCTTTAGAAACGGAAACAGATTTCCCAGAAGGCACCAGCAGCTGCTGGTGCTTGTGCATACCGACTCCTGAGAGGCAGCGACTCACCCACGTCGCTGCTCTGAGACCCATGGGAAGGTCAGCCTCAAACGAGGCCACAACAAATCAAAACAAACATCATAAATAAGTTACTAAAATTAAGCTTAAAAGTGGAGGAGAAAAATGGGAAAATGTGTTATTTTTGTTACTCTTTCCTTAAAATGGAAATCCCAGAAATGGCTCTTATTGGTATTCAAAGAAACAGTTAAAGGTTCAGTCTCTGAGCCTCTTCAAAACAGTGAAGCAGGAAGGAGGCACCCACAGTCCCCGGGCCACTCCAGACAGAAATCCACTTTTGTTTTGTCTCCTCCTGGGTGGCTGGTGGACCTCCCTCCCACTCCACCCCTCCCCCCGCCCTCCAAGGACTGGAGGCATCTGGAAAGGGCTCCAGGTGCCCCAGGACAGGAGCTCCGGAGAGAAAGGCCTTGGAGGAGGGGCATCTGCCACCTGCTGCCACACTGCACTGAGTCAGCCTGCACCTAACAGGAGGAGGACAGAGCCCACAGGGTCCTACAGGGAGAAGTCCCTGAGGCTGCGAGAGGAAAGGCCATGGGAGACAGGCAGACTTTTATAACTCTTAGTCATTTCTACTTGGAACCTACTGGTGATAGTTTGAGAGAACTTTTGAACTTGGCAGCCGCTCTAACAAGAGATAGCAGGGAGGGCCCCTCCCCTGGACCTTTCCTTGGCGGCCTTCCAGTAGGGCAGGGTCTGTCTGCAAGGACACACACATTTCCCATAAAGAAAGAGACATACTGGTGTCAGACACCTGCTACAAACATACGCCGATTCTCTGATTTGTGAGATAACCCAGAGAAGCAAACCAGCTTGGTATTGAACAGAGTAGTACTCAAAACATTTGCTCATTAAGTTACTTAAAAATTAATTCTCAAAGTGCTTCAAAAAAAAAAAAACAAACAAATCAAATCTGACTCCTCTTTTTGTGATAATAATAATCATTCTGGTATTTTCATAATAAACAGAAGCAAGAACTCCCACTGATGCAGTGCTTAAAACTATCTATTTATAATTTCCTATTTTATTGGCATGAATATTTCTAAACTTAAAAACTTTCCTGGTAAGTTCTTTTAATTTCTTATGACAAAAATTTCTCACAACACACAAATATTTACAACATATACATTGTTTTCAACTCTTTACAGTGAATTCCAAAGACAAACATTTTTTTATAGGTTACCACAGAACAAAAGCTGTGACTCATGTTTTTATTTCATAAACTATTATAAGTTAAAGTGAATAGATTTCTAATATTCCTTGTAGCATTTTACAAGTGCAACAGAAGACTGGAGGGGCCGATCAAGACAGCTGTCGTTCATTAGATCAATGCTGCTGCTTGTCATCACATCTGCTCGCAGCAAAGTTTTGGAAAATAAGCACCAATCATTCTTGCAAAGAACAAGTTTATCTAAAAGGATGGAAAAGTGTTAAATACAAGGTCTTTAATTTACATGACAAGCAATAAATACGCAGTTTGGAAACTCACCCTGCGCTGCTAACCTCGGACGCACAAAGCACGAAGGGGGAGCTGGCCCGTTTGGCAATCGGACTCCCACCCCGTGGTTTGTCTGCTAAGGTAACAAGGCCACGCACAGCACACCTGGGCCAGCAAACAGTGAGAAACCGACAGAACTCCAAGGGGGAGACATCTAGCAAATAAACCAAAAAGCCAAAGATCATTGCTGGTGATATCAGCATATACTCGAAAACCTTAATATGCTGCTACTATGATTCGTTTTAAATTATTGTTTAGTCATCTATTAAAGAGCCAGCTGCTGCTCTTGAAGTTAAAAAACAAACAAATTGTGTCGCCACATTATTGTTTCAAGGTCCTGTGTGGAATGCTGCTACCACTGCACAATTTTGCCGGAACCTTTATTTTACACCAGGGCTTTATTTATCGCAGAACTCAGAATTGCACGTAAGAAGGCTATTCAAAAAGTACGGTAAAAATGTGCACAAATCGGGAGTCGGTCCACTGTGCACTTTTCTCCAGTATTACGCTGCTAGGTGAACACGAGGAAGTGCTGCGCGAAAAGGGTCGCCGAGGAGCTGCCCACACGAGGCTACGCAGTTTCTCTGACATAGTTACCCCAGGCCAAGAGCTCACGCGTTCAGCCTTAAAGACTGATCCTCTCTTCTCCTGGAAGAGATGTCAATGTCTATGGAGTCTTTGCCAACGATGAGCCGCAAGCGCTTGGCTGGGGGAAGGGGAATGAAGTCGTCCTCGAAGTCGTCCTCGTAGCCGTCCTCGCCCTCCTCGCCCTCGGAGGACGAGGGGTCATCGCTACTCTCCTCCTCATACTGGCTGTAGTCATCCACTTCCATCTCAGACTCCAGGAGGGAAAGAGGGTCACTGCAGCACACCCCGTTTTCGTGAAGGCCCTCCGCATAGGACCCCCTGCCTTCCTCGTCCCGTTTTAGCTGGATTTTCAATTTTGTGGAGCTATTGCCTGATCCTGAGTTAAATCCATTGTTAAGCTTTGCTACGTAGAGGTTATTATCCTTCTCGTGGTCTTTGCTCAGCTTGATGCTTATTTTAGAGGCGCTCACGCCGTCGCCCTCTTGGTCGTTGGTCTTGCTGCTGCTGTCGTGGCGCCTCCGGAGAGTCAGTTTGGGGATCCCGGAGTTATTCTCCAGGATTAGCTGTGCGTCGTACCTGGTGATTCGCCTCTTCTTTTTGCTTTTCGCAGTTCTAAAGCTGTCTTTTGCTTTGAAGCCATCTGACGTGACGATGGGACAAGCCACCACAGGTGAAGGGGCGCAGTCCGCGTGGCTGGCGGGTGGCCCGGCCGCGCCGCTGGGCTCGCCCTGGTCAGGGCGGGGCCCCAGCAAAGCGGGCAGCATGCTGTCTCTCCCTGGGGAGTCACGCACCGCAGGGGACGTCTCTAGCTTTGCAAACTGTTTCACAAGTTTGGCTTGCCGCGACTTCTTTTTGGACAGGCCAGGGGTGCCCTTGGGGCACTTTGCCTCTGCTTTCTGGGCTGTCTCACAAACCAGCGCTTCCTGCACCTCAGGGATGGCCGGCTGGCCACCGCTGGGACAAGGTTCCGACTCGCCGCTTTTGTAGTCGTCCAATGTATTTGGTTCCAGCTTGATGTCAGAGGCGCCCTCCAGGCTCATCCTCGTCCTCGCTGAGCGCCTGGTTATGTAGGCACAGGGCGAATCGCCGTCCTGCGCGTGAGCACCTCGCCCAGGGTTCTGCCTGTGTTCTCGGGCCGCGTGTCTGGTCAAGCACCCGCTCCCGGCTGCAGCCTGGGCCTGTCCCTCCGCCTCCTTATCTTTCTTAATGGGCAGATTTTTGTACAGGACTACTTTAGGTTCTTTAAGTACTAAGTTCCCCATTTCGAGTTTCCTTGAAGAATTCTTAGGCTCCAGCCGCTTGCAGTGATTTCTCAGTTTGATCTTAGAGAGTAAAGCCTTTGCCGGCTTCCTCGGTGTCTTTGGTACCCTGGGATTGTTCATGTGAGTGAGCTTAGGTGAGGTAGAGCTGGAAGCAGGCGGGAGTCTCGACAGGGATTGCCTGCTCAGCGTTCGGTTCTTGCTGTTCTTTTTTAGGCCAACTGAAGGTTTTCGGTTAGCAGCTGTGAGGTGATAAAACAAAACAAAAAACAAGATGAAAATCAGCTGGGTAAGGCAGTGTTTAACAAAACCAGGCCCCAAACCAGACTTCCCAACGCGGACCGCTCATGTGGATGCCCTGCCTGTTCCTGCAACCCATGGAGAGCCACTTGTTTGTGGCTCAAATGCCACTGAGACTTTGCTCCAGGTTTCTCCCTCGCCTGTCAGGACTTGGTTTACACCAAGTGTTAATCCTGATTTGGTATTTTCGCACATAAAAGATTTGGGAAGAACTACACAGTGCCATTTTGTCTTTCTCTCACGAACTCCTTTTTTGAGGTGGGGTTTACTATGAGACTCAAGCCGGCCTTGAACTTACTGTGTGGTTCAAGCTGCTGCCAATTCTTCTTATAAATGATCATTTCAAACCTTCTTCTAGAATCAGTCACTGGCTTACCCAAAGCAGCCGCATAACTTGGCCAGTGACACAGAAGAGAAGCCTATTACTGCTGGGCTTGAGGGCAAATTTGGTCACAATGGTGTCTAACAAGTAAAACAGACCCTTGCTAAAACCCATAGACTGCCATTCTAACAGACACTCAGCAAAAAAGAACTACCGTATTAGGAGCCATTTGCTCGCTTCCACTGAGGACTGGCGAGAGTGGGTGAACTGACAACTCAAAAGGGGTACTGGGACCCCCAGTGACTGAACTATAGACAGCCAAGGATCTGCCATGTTGTCCCAAGATGGGGATTGGATGAACGCTGCAAGACCCAAGGCAGGCGGCCAGGGGCTTTCCAAGGGCTCCCCACAGGACCCAAATTCACGTGCCATCTTTTTGTTGTTGTTCTCTACTCTTATGTCCTATTTTACCATTTATATAAATAGGGCTTTCCATTAGTCAAGTTTTCAATGAGAGTTCCCTCATTCCCCATTAAAAAAACACACAAACACTCTTCCTGATCAGAACCTCCTTTATGAAAGCTAGCCAGCTCGGGGGCTGACAACCAAGCAGCGTGTGCCC